CAATCTACTTCCATAGAGATACCACCTCAGAAACCCAAGGAGGGGTCGCTATGAGTTGGAACCGACTACATTACTCCTCCATCCCTAGATAAACATTAATCTACTTCCTGCTTTTCCAGACACGTCATACAAATGGAATCACACGGTATTTGACCTTTTGTATCTGGCATCTTTCAGTCAGCATAATGCTTTCAAAATCCATCCACATTGTAGCGTGCATCAGAATTTCATTTCTCTTTTTGGCTGAGTAATGTTTCATTGCCACTCCTTGTCTGTCAGGTTGTTGCACTGTGGTGGGGGCTTTCATGTTGCTGTGATGCTGGAAGCTATGTCACCAGTATTTCAAATGCCAGAGGAGTCACCCATAGTAGGCAGGTTTCAGCAGAGCTTCCGGACTAAGACAGTCTGGGAAGAAGGATCTGGTGATGTACTTAGTGAGAACCTTCTGGACAGCAGCAGAACACTGACCCAGGGCCAGAAGATGAGCCTTCAGGGGTCGAAGACACTCAAAACACAACTGCAGAAGAGCTGCCTCCTCAGAATACAGCCGACCTTAACAACGTGGATGGAGTGAAGCTTTCGGGACCTCTATCTGATGATGGGGCATGACTCAAAATGGGAAGAAACAGCTGCAAACATCCATTAATAACCAGAACATGGGATGTACGAAGTATGAATCTAGGAAAATTGGAAGTTATGAAATGGAACGCATAAGGTCAATATCCTAGGTGTTAGTGAGCTGAAATGGACTGCTATTGGCGATTCTGAATCAGACAATCATATAATCTACTATGCTGAGAATGACAAATTGAAGAGGAATGGAACTTCATTCATGGTCAAAAGAAAAAATTTCAAGATCCATCCTGAAGTACAATGCTGTCGGTAATAGGATAATATCCACATGCCTACAAGGAAGACTAGTTAATGCTACAATTATTCCAATTTACTCACCAACCACCAAACCCAATGATGAAGAAACTGAAGATTTTTATCAACTTCTGCCATCTGAAATTGATTAAACATGCAATCAAGATGTATTGATTACTACTGGTGATTGGAATGCGAAAATTGGAAACAAAGAAGGATCAGTAGCTGGAAAATATGGCCTCGGTGACAGAAATGACACTGGAGATCGTATGGTAGAAATGTGCAAGACCAGTGGCTTAGTCACTGCAAATACCTCTTTTCAACAATATCAACAGCAACTATACACGTGGACCTTGCTGTGTGGAAATACACAGGAATGAAATCAATTACATCTGTGGAAAGAATGATGGTGAAGCGCCATATTATCAGTCAGAGCAAAACTGAGGCCAACTGTGATCTAGACCATGACCATCAACTGCTCATATGCAAGTTCAAGTTGAAGCTGAAGACAATAAAAACAAGTCTATGAGAATCAGAGTATGTCCTGAGTACCTCCCACCTGAATTTAAAGACTATCTCAAGGACAGATCTGATGCACTGAAAACTAATGACCAGAGACCAGATGAGTTGTGAGATGACATTAAGGACGTCAGTCATAAAGAAGGCAAAAGGTCATTAAATAGGCAGGAAAGAAAATACCAAAACTTGCTCTTGAACATAGAGTAGCTAAAGCAAACAGAAGAAATGAAGTAAAAAAGACGAAGAGAAGATGTTAAAAGGCAGCTTGAGAACACAAAGTGAAGTATTATAATGAAATGTGCAAAGACCTAGGGTTAGAAAACCAAAAGGGAAGAACACACTCAGCATTTCTCAAGCTGAAAGAACTGAGGAAAAAATTCAAGCCTCGAGTTGCAATACTGAAGGATGTGGTGAGCAAAATGCTGAACAGCGCAAGAAGCATCAAAAGAAGATGAAAGGAATACACAGAGTCACTGTACCGAAAAGAATTGGCTGACACTCATCCATTTCAGAAGGTAGCATATGATCTAGAACTGGTGGTACTAGTGGAAGAAGTCTAAGCTGTCTTGGAGGAAGTATAGCCAGAATGCTCCTTGGACATGAAGAAAGCCAGACTTTGTCTCCTGTACTCTGATCACGTTTTCAGGAGGGACCAGTCCCTGGAGAAGGACATCATACTTGGTAAAGTAGGAGGTCAGCAAAAAAGGGGAAGGCCCTCAGTGAGATGGACCGACACAGTGGCTACAACAACGGGGTGTAACATCGCAAGGACTGTGAGGATGGCCCAGGATCAGGCAGTGCCGTGTTCTATTATACACGGGGTCACTTTGAGTTGGAGCAACCCGGACAGTGACCAACAACAACAATATTCTATTTTATGAGGACGTTTATCTACCAATTCGTCCACTGATGGACATTTGCATTGTTCCTACTTGGTGGCTATTGTGAATAGTGCTACTATAAACATGCGTGTATGTGTTTAACTAGTTTAATCTTAATGACCCCACAGAAAGGGAAACCAATGACCAGAGAGGTTAAGCTGAGAAACCACAGTGTTACCACAGACTGAAGGTCAGGGGAGTTCCATCCAGAATGAGGCAAAGAACTGTGTTAGTTGTTGATTTAACGAGAGACCGAGTGGCAGCACAGGCCAACCTTGGACGTATTGTGGGTTTGGTTCGAGATCACCACAATAAACCAAGTATCACAATAAATCAAGTCACACGAACATTTTGGTTTCCCAGTTACATTCACATTACACTGCAGTGTATTCAAAGGAGCTCTGGTGGTGCCGTGGTTAAAAGCATTTGGCTGCTAACCAAAAGGTTGGCGGCTTGAATCCACCAACTGCTCTGTGGGAGAAAGACATGGCAGTCTGCTTCCATAAAGATTTATAGCCCTGGAAACCTTATGGGGCAGTTGTTCTCTGTCTTACAGAGTCGCTATGAGTTGGAATTGACTTGACGGCAGTGGGTTTTTTAGGTAGGCCATTAAGTGTGCAACAGTATGATGAAAAGCTTGAAATGTTTTGAGAATGGCCTAGATGTGACAGAGACACACGGTGAGTACGTGCTCCTGGAAAACTGACGCCAGCAGATTTCCTCAACGTGGGGTTGCCACAACCTTCCATTTGTAGAAACCGCAGTATCTGCAAAGCACAACAAACCAAAGTGTAATAAAACAAGGTATGCTTGCTCTTGTTGTTGTTAGGTGCTGTCGAGTCAGTTCCAACTCACAGTGACCCTGTGCACAACACACCACCACACTGCCCAGTCGTGTGCCATCCTCAAAGCCACTGCCATGCTTGAGCCCACTGCTGCAGCCGCTACGTTGAGGGTCTTCCTCTTGTTTGCTGACTCCCTACTTTACCAAGCATGATGATCTTCTCCAGGGACTGGTCCCTCCTGATCACATGCCCAGAGTAGGAGAGAAGGCTGTCATACTTTGCTGTGCCTGTGTAGGTGGCAAAAGGTGTCAGCGCCAGACATGAGCAGCAGATACTCGAGTCAGACATGAGCAGCAGATACTTGAGTCAGATTGGAAGGGCCCAGAGGCGGTTTGCTGGATGTTGTTCCACCGACCCAGGCAGGAGGGTACAGGGGCCTAGATGGGACACTGGCACAGAAAAGGGACGTGTGCAAGACTCAAGACAAAGGAGACGAACTTAGCCAGCTGAGACACCTAAAAATCTGCCTTAAGGAGGGTGGGTGAACTCCAAAATGACTGTCCTGAGATCATCTTTAAACCAAAAATATTCCCTGAAGTCTTTAAACTGTAATTTTGTTTAACTAGTAAAGGATGTCTGCCCCAATTCTTCAGAAAAAGAATAAATAAAAGACGGCCTGCCTGCAGCACTGTGCTCTATTAAAGACTCTATATGGGATCAAACTGACCACGGCAACTCAAAAGGTTAGATGGGAAGCTTAAGGGGCAGTGAGTTTATGTTGATGGGGACAACTCAGGAAAGGAGGGTGAGAGTGGTGGCACAACTCAGAGACTGTCATCAGTGTCCTGAATTGTACATATAGAAACTGTTGAATGGTTGTATGTTCTGCTGTGTAGATTCTCAACTGTGACTACAAAAAATACATTTAAGAAAAAACTGCCTCAAGAGGGGGAAGAGGGGACGTTTTTTCTTAGACGGCAGTGACTTTATGTTTGTGGTGGTGAAATGATTTGGAAACGGTTAGCAAGAATGGTTGTACAAGGGGAGGAGAGGAAACACTGCAAAAAAAATAATAATAATGGTTGTACAGCTTATAGGATCAAGGTCACTGAACTGTGCTTATAGAAATTGTCAAGTGGGTATATGTTTTGTTATATACATGTTCACTATAGTAAAATAAAAAAAACAAATCTGCTTCAAGTCAGATTTACATCACTATCAATAATCTCGTGGTTCAGAAGCTACACCCAAAAAGAATGGTTATCAGGGCAGCCTTCCTGGAGGAGTTGTCAGTGCATCCTGAAGGCAGGGAGCAGGAGGTGAGACTAGGGAAAGCATTCCAGGTAGATGGGCCCAGTAAGCAAAGTCCTAAAATGTGAAAGCAGCCTCAAGCAAGTACCTCTGGCTTGGCCGGGTCCTTCTCCGTCTCCTTGAGCTGCTTCTGGTTCCAGCTAAGCCACATCTGGTGTAACTTCTCCTGACCCTCCACCAGCTTCTGGTCTACTCCCTGCTTGACCGTTTCCATCTGGAGCAAGAGAGAGCAGCAAAGGAAGCTCCCGTCAATACCCCTCTAAAGCCAGCAAGGAGCTCTGGTGGTTTACTGGGTAAGTACGGCATTTGGTTGCTAACCAGAAGGTTGACAGTTTAAACCCACTGGCCACTCTACAGGAGGAAGATGAGGCAATCTACTTCTGTAAAGTTTGACAGCCTTGGAAACCCCATGGGGTCACTGTGAATCGGAATTGACTTGATGGCTGTGGGTTCAGGTTTGGTAAAGCCAGCAGAGACCCTGCACATCCCATGAGACACAGGATTCCACGAAGAGGCCACGAAATCCTTCTTTTATCTGACTTATGAGACGTGCAGGCCCCAGCTAACCCACACACTGGTGGTTCGAACCCAACCACCGATGCTGTGAAAGAGGTCTGGCAACATGCTTCCACAGAGACCACGGGGGTTGCAAGGAAACCCCGTGGAGTGCCGTTCTGCTGACACACATGGGGCCGCCCTGAGTTGGAATCAGCTTGGTGGCAATGGGTTTGCTTTGGTTTCATGAGATGGCCTAGAAAGGGATGTGAAAGACAGCTGCTACTGTTTTCCATTTGTTCTTATTGGGTTCTGACTCACAGCAACCCCATGTGACATAGAACAGCCCCATGGGGTTTACTAGGCTGTCAATCTTTATGGGAGCAAAGCCCAAACCCACCCACTGAAGTCAAGTTGATTCTGACTCACGGCGCACCTAGAGGACAGAGTAGAACTGCCTCGTAGGGTTTCCTTTCCAAGGCTGTCCAACTTTACAGAAGCAAAACTCACACCAAACCCACTGCCTGTAGTGTTGATTCAGACTCACAGCAATCCCATGTGACAGAGGAGAACTGCCCCCACAGAGTCTTCTAAACGGAAATCTTTATGGGAGCAGATCGCCGAGTCTTTTCTCCCATAGAGCTGCTGGGTGGGTTCAAACAACCAACCTTTCAGTCGGCAGCTGAGGGGTCAACCACTGAGCCACCAGGTTTTCCACAGCTGCAGTGAAATGGTGGGCTCTATGAGCTTTGGCCTCATCACCAACTCACTAATGCCCTGTATGGTGGTTGCAAAGAAGGTGGCTGCAAATTCTCAGCTCCCTCCCCCCAACAAATCAATTTGTCCACCCTTGTAACTGGACTTGGCCAAGTAACTTGCTTCGGGCAATGGGACATGAACAGATGGACCATAGGCAGAGGCTTTAAAAAAACGCTTGTGAATCGCAGCCTCTTTATGTTTGCTACCCCAGACCGCCCAAGCCGCTCCCACCACATGAAAGCCTCAGCTAGCCTGTTGGAGGAGGAGAGCGGGTGGAGACACTCAGCCTTGAGCCAGCCCACAGCACTGCGAGAGAGAAACCTGTGAGATCAATCGTTGTTGTTTCAAGCCACCAAGTGCTGAGACTGTTA